AACGGCGGAGCAGGGGGTGCTAAGAAACTCCGGTGGAGGTTCGGTTGCCACCTACGACGACTCGACCTGGCAACATACAACGCACGCACCCTGAGGACTGACGAGAAGATTGTGGAGCTGGAAGAAGAGATAGACAAGTTACGCTGGCATATTATGGGACTATCCGAAGTCCGAAGAGAGGGGGAGGACACGGTAATCCTCGAATACGGCAACTTGCTCCATTACCGGGAGGGCGACCATCTGTCCCAAGGAGGTGTCGGATTTATCGTCCACAAGTCTCTCGTTAACAACGTTGTAAAGATCGGGAGTGTGTCGACGAGGGTTGCGTACCTTATACTCAGAATCACCAAACGGTATTCGCTGAAGGTCATACAGGTTTACGCACCAACCTCGGCACACTCCGATCAGGAGGTGGAGAAAATGTATGAGGATATCTCTAGAGCCATGCATTCCTCCAATATCCAATATACGGTATTAATGGGAGACTTCAATGCAAAACTAGGCACAAGAGAAAACGGTGAGCTGAAAGTAGGGAAATTTGGAATAGGGCAACGGAACCCAAGGGGCCAGCAGTTGGCTGACTTCATGGAGAAAGAGGGACTCTTTATGATGAACTCTTTCTTCCAGAAGCGGCCCCACAGGAAGTGGACCTGGTCGAGCTCCGATGGTTCGACAAAAAATGAGATTGACTTCATTATGACGACCAGACGACAACTGTTCAGTGATGTCTCCGTGATCGCGAGGGTGAAAACTGGTAGCGATCACCGAATGGTTAGAGGCACACTGAACCTAAACGTTAAGTTGGAGAGGTCTCGTCTAATGAAGTCAACGCTCCGTCCCCCTCGTGCTTTGCTCCTAAGTCCTTTCAGCTCGAGTTACAAATTCGTTTTCAGTGCCTAGAAGACTGCAATGAAGTGGACGATTTGAATGACAAGCTCGTGGCAAGTGTCCATGCGGTCGGAGCTAAGTTCTGTAAGACCCGCCGCAGAAGAACACAAAAACTCTCCGATCACACTCTTAATCTCATGGCTGCTAGACGGGAGATGATGCTACATTCTTCAATAGATTTGACAGAATACAGGCAACTGAACAGACAGATCTCCAAATGCATGCGGCGGGACTTACGCAACTTCAATACAGCTCGTATTGAAGAAGCGATCGAGCGGAACCAAGGCTCCAAAGTCTTTGCCAGAGATCTGTCTGCCAGAAAGCGCCAACTGTCAAGGCTGAAGACTGAATGTGGCAGCATCGTTTCCGGGGCACCTGAGATTTTGAGTGAGATTGAGAGGTTCTATGGGCAGCTGTACACGTCATCGTTGGAGCCGCACGCAAGTGTGAGTAACGATCCAAGAGCGAGTCTTATCCGACATTATTCCGATGATATCCCGGACGTCAGTCTGAGCGAGATTAGAATGGCTCTCCAGCACCTTAAAAACGGCAAGGCCCCGGGCGAGGATGAAATTACTAATTAATCTGAAAGCGGGTGGAAAACCGGTACTTGAAGTCCTTCAGTAGCTCTTTAATTCCGTCCTCCATGGTGGCATTACACCGGAGGCGTGGAGCAGAAGTGCTGTGGTCTTGTTCTTCAAGAAAGGCGACAACGCTCTCTTGAAGAACTACAGACCGATTTCCCTTCTGAGCCGCGTCTACTTGCTGTTTTCGAGAGTCATTACGAATCGTCTCGCGCGCAGACTTGACGACTTCCAGCCTCCCGAACAAGCCGGTTTCCGAAAAGGCTTTAGCACCATAGACCACATACATATCCTTCGGCAAATTGTACAGAAGTCCGAGGAGTACAATTTGCCACTATGTCTGGCGTATGTGGACTATGAGAAAGCCTTTGATTCCGTCGAAATTTGGGCGGTGCTGCAGTCCCTTCAGCGATGCCAAGTTGACTGTCGGTATATCGTAGTGTTGAAGTGCTTGTACAGTAGGGCTACGATGGCTATCCGAGTACAGAACCAGAGTACGAAACCTATCCAATTGCAGAGAGGTGTAAGACAGGGTGACGTCATATACCCGAAACTCTTTACCGCTGCATTGGAAGATGTTTTCAAGCTTCTGGTCTGGAAAGGATACGGTATCAACATCAATGGCGAGTACATCACTCACCTTCGATTTGCCGACGATATAGTCCTTATGGCAGAATCGCTGGAGGACCTAAGCACTATGCTCAATGACCTTAATAGTGTTTCTCAACGGATAGGTCTTAAGATGAACATGGACAAAACAAAGATCATGTTTAATGTCCATGTCACACCTATGCCGGTGGTTGTTGGGAACACTAAGCTCGAAGTTGTTGACGAGTATGTTTACCTGGGACAAATATTCCGACTAGGTAAGTCCAACTTCGACCGAGAGGTCAATCGACGGATTCAACTCGGTTGGGCAGCGTTCGGAAAATTACGGCACATCTTCTCGTCAGGTATACCTCAAAACTTGAATACGAGACTGTACACCCAGTGCGTGTTGCCAGTGATGACATACGGAACTGAGACGTGGTCCTTCACTGCTGGCCGGATGAGGAAGCTCAAGGTCGCTCAGCGAGCTATGGAGAGGGCTATGCTCGGAGTTTCTCTGCGTGATAAACTCAGAAATGAGGATATCCGCAGTAGAAATAGAGTGACCGACATAGCCTAACGGATTAGTAAGCTAAAGTGGCAATGGGCCGGCCATATAGCTCAAAGAACCGACAACCGATGGGGAAGTAAGGTTCTCGAGTGGCAGCCTCGTACCGGCAGGCGAAGTGTAGGGCGTCCCCCCACTAGATGGAGTGACGACCTGGTAAGATATGCAGGAAGTCGATGGATGCAGGTGGCTCAGGACCGTGCTTTGTGGCATTCTTTGGGGGAGGCCTATGTTCAGCAGTGGACTTGTGAAGGGCTGTAATGAATGAAAAAAAATAAAATATTCCTGATAACAATTGAATAAATTAAAAAAAAACTGCGGTTCCAAACTGTCCGGTAAACGAGTCAACTAGAGCCAAATGTCGAAATTAATGAGCGAGGTCTATGTATATCGGTTGACTTTTGATAGGATGTAATGAATGGGATAAATTAAAATACCAGAGAAAAACCGCTATGATTTTGTAAATTTTAATTATAATACTGCATCAAACTTTTACATTAGATATAACGTGAAGAGAACAGTTTGTACCCCTAATAGGCTTACTATTGTACGCATTGAAGAGTTTGAAATTTGGCAAAGATAAAGTTTTTATAGAGGAGTGCAGAAAGCTAAAATATATCTACGTGTCCCGAAACTTATATCTTTATACATCCATGTATATATGTATATATATATATATATATATATATATATATATATATATATATATATGTGTCAATAGTAAATTTTAAGATTAAGTTTAGGTTCAGGCCAAATTAATAAAAACGTAACGTCTTTGTAGTGTAACGTGTAAAATTTTTATATTTTTTAAATTATAAAAACACTTCTTCTTAATATTTTATTGTAAACAATATAAATCTTAACCGCTTTTAAGGTGATTCACGTATTGGGAACTCCCTAAGGACTGGTTTTGTGAACAAGGGACGGGAGACAGCTGAGCTCACTGAACGGCAGCTGTCAAGATTTAATATTGGATGCACGGCAGTACCTTCCTACTGAACAGAGGCGGACTAAACAGAGCGCAGGAGAGTATCGTTGTTAGGGAAATTAGATCAAAATCAATCATGTTAACCGACTTCCGACCCTGAGTGTATAAATAAATTCTCATTATTCTTCACTCTTATTTGTTGTTTTACTTCAACTAAATTGAAACGTAACAAGTGGCGCCTTAATAGGTTATTTATTAATTTTGATATGACTGCCTTAGCATTTTCTTGTTTTCTGGTGTTGGTAATATGCTTATAGTTTTGTGAAACGACTGTAGTTTTTTTTACTTTCAAACTATGTGCTGCCAATTTCTTTTTCTCAATCTGTATTAGATATAAGAATATTAATAACTTTACTGTAAAGCACATAGTTTGAAATCCGTAAATTTTCTTAGTAGTTATTTTTTTTGGTTATTTTTTTATATTATCTTAAGTTTTTTAGCGTCATTTTGACATTCACTACATCGTTCTTGCTCAAGTTGATTGCCTCTTTGTGACAGAACGGACTTAACTGTGTTGGCTTTTTATATACTTTTTTCTTTTTGCTGTTTAAGTTTTATTATAACCGTTTTCTTTGTGAATAAATGTATTGAGTGTTTCATTGCACTACAAACCCAGCTTTTAAACGGATAAGATGTCTCACGCAATTAAATTTTTACATTTGCAAAAAGCTGAATTACAATTGCAAAAAGCTGAATTACAATTACAATAAAGTGATTATAAGAGGAGAAATACCGGCATATACAGTAATTGAATTGAGACGTCAAGTTTGCAAGTTAACCCAATTATATCCATCAAACGATATTGCCTATTCATGTGTTGATTTTTTTGAAGATATAAAGGGTATCACAGAGTCTCTTAATAAAGTTAAATCGAATTTAGATATTTTATCTACATCTCTAGATGATAATCTGATAGATCGAACGCGTTCTTTGCTAAACCACATTTATCATCGAATACGTCGTGTAGAACAACCTGAAAGTCCTGAACGAATCTCAAAGTGTGTCACGTGTCTAAAGCTTTTGATGAATATACTAATCACTTTAATAAAATAACGAAATCAGAAAATTCTAAAGATTCTGATAATAGTTCATCTGATGTTGTAATGGCTGCCTCAAATTTAGAAAACTTAAATCGTGCTTTGTCCTCGGATTTAGCAAAACTTAAATACGATGGTAAAACTTGTGTTCGGTAATTTATTCAAAGACTTGAGGAATTTCGTACCGCTAGAAATATATCCGATGATAGACTGTTATCATCCGCTTTTGAAATATTTGTAGGTGATGCTCTTCACTGGTATCGGGCAGTAAAAGATAACATTAGTAACTTCAATGATCTAGTTACTCACCTTCGTTAGACTTTGATGTTTTTGACTACGACTATCGAATGACAACAGAGATTCGTTACCGCACGCAGGGTGAATCTGAAAATATAATTATTTATATGGCTGTTATGCAAGCTATGATTTCTCGATTAAGTACTCCTATGAGTGAGAAAGATCAACTTGAAATTCTCTTACATAATATTCGTCCATGCTACACAAATGTTCTTGCTAATTGTACTAATGTAGATTCAATTAATCGTCTTAAATCAATTTGTCGTAACTACGAACAAGTAAAAGCCCGTTCAGATAATTTTAAAGAGCCAATTATTGCAATAAGTTCCAAAACATTGGCACCAGAATTTGCATACCAAACCGCAAATAAAAATTTACCTAAAAATTATAGTAGCGATAGATCTTATGCTAATAGGTTATTCGCGAATATAAATAAAATATTTGCTATGGAAAAATCTAAATTTTGCTACCGTTGTCGCGTTGACACTCATAACATGAAGGAATGTTCGGCCGAACGAGTTATTTTTTGTTTCAAATGTGGCATAAAAGATGTACGCTCTACTGAGTGTCCCGAGTGTAATAAGACTAAAATTGAAACCAACCACAAAAACTAATTCATGAAAATTGTAGCAAGTCTTCAACCAATTTCTCCGATACCTCGGATTGGAAGAAATGGTTACTTACTGTAAAAAATTTCTTTAATACTTATAATATTGCTTCAATTTTCACCACTAAGCCGAGCAGTGATCCGCGCCCTTATGCCAAAATATACATATAAAATAACTGTAACTTATGCCTATATAATTTGTTGGATTCCGGATCAGCTGTAAGCATTTTAGGAAAACACTCTTATGACATCTTACTAAAACACGGTTTTACACTTATTGATGATCATGCAATTTCTGTTACTGCCGCGGTTGGGCAGAAACTTAAGTCACTAGGCTACATGCTCTTACCACTGGTGTTTTATAACCAAACTCATGTTATAAAACTTCATGTTATCCCCGAGATAAACTCAAACTTAATACTTGGTATTGATTTTTGGTCCAAATTTAAAATACTTCCTAAACAATTATCCAATATTGATTATATGTGCTGTCATGACCCTAAGATAATGGAAATTACCTCAGAGTCCCCCCAGGTTTTTCTTTACTATTATGAGAACTTAGATAATTCTGAAAAACCAATTGCTGATTCTGTAGTTGAACAGTATAAATCTATCTCGTTTGAAGAGTAAGGTCGTGGTAGAACAACTATCATTACACATAGTATAAACACCGGGGATTCAGAGCCAATTTGTCAAAGATATTATCGCATGTCTCCAGATAAACAAAAGATAATTACCGAACAAGTCGATGAAATGTTATCTTTAGGCGTTATTGAGCCATGCGAAAGCCCTTGGTCTTCACCAGTATTGGTCGTACGTAAAAAGAACGGCAAACCTAAATTTTGTTTAGATAGTAGAAAGCTAAATTCGGTTACTAGAAAAGACGCTTATTGTCTTCCGTATGTTTCAGAAATACTTGATAACTTGAAAGATGCTAGGTACCTATCTAGCATAGACTTATCAAAAGCTTTTTGGCAGATTCCCATAAAGCAAGAAGACCAGGAGAAAACCGCTTTTTATGTTCCTGGTCGTGGTACCTTAAAATTCAAAGTAACAGCCTTTGGTTTATCAAATGCACCAGCTACCCAACAACGTTTAGTAGATACGCTTTTTGGACTGGATTTTGAACTCAAAGTATTCGCATATTTAGATGACATTATTGTTATCAGCCATAGTTTTGAAGAACACGTTTCCCTGCTTCTTCGTGTATTAGAGAAACTACGCCAGGCCAATTTAACCGTGAATCTTGAAAATGTCAGTTTTTTCGCAGTCAATTATGGTACCCAGGTTATATTGTAGATTCAAAAGGACTTAGAACTGACCCTGAAAAGGTTGACGCGATTCTTAACTCTCCTACTCCTGGTAGTCTTAAAGATGTCAAGCGATTCCTGGGCACAGCTTCTTGGTACAGACGATTTATTCTTAATTTCAGTACAATTGCTGGCCCCTTAAACAAATTAACGTCAACCAGAAAGAACTCGCCACCTTTCCAGTGGTCGGACGAAGCAAATAGAGCTTTTCTTGAATTAAAATCCCTACTCGTCAACGCTCCTGTTCTTGCATGTTCCAACTTTAACTACCCCTTCGAGGTACATACCGATGCCAGTAATTTTGGTATTGGAGCTGTGTTATCTCAAAATATTAATGGTGTCGAAAACGTGTTGCCTACATGAGTAGATTTCTAAGCGGACCTGAGAGAAATTATAGTGTCACGGAACGTGAAACCTTGGCTGTTCTCATAGCGCTCGAGCATTGGCGATGTTATTTGGAAAGTGGTAGACCTTTTACTGTCTTTACTGACCACTCAGTTATCAAGTGGTTTTTATCACTAACGTATCCTACAGGTGGGCTCGTACGGTGGGGAGTTAGGTTATCGGCCTTCAATTTTGAAGTAAAGCACCGTCGCGATAAAGATATAACGTAATCCCTGATTCCCTATCTAGGCTACCAACGCTTGTTGCAATATCAGACACTTCCAATTGACCAATGACTCAGGATCAATGGTTTCTTAATATATTTTACAGTTGTCAAAAATCACCAGCAAGCTTTCCTAACTATCGCGTCGAAAATGGGTCCTTATACCGTTTTATGAAAAATAACTTACCTCAGAATTTGCATGGAAAATAGTTATCCCAAATGAACATCGTGATTCTTTTCTAAAAGAAAATCATTCGGAACCTACTTCGGGTTATTTTGGCATATTCAAAACTTACAAAAGATTATTACTACGTTACTATTGGCCTAAAATGTATTCTGATGTAGTTAAATTTGTTACCGAATGCGACGTTTGTCTGGCATATAAATTGCCAAGTCATTGTACATTAGGAACGATGGGTAGACCAAACGAATGCAGCAGACCTTTCCAGACCCTATCAATAGACTTGATCAGGCCATTACCACCAACTAGGAAACAATATTGCTATATTTTTGTTGTATCTTGTTGCTTCTCGAAGTATTGTCTTATGTTCCCTTTACGTAGAGCCACCGCCGATCTTGTTGCTAAGCACTTAGAAGATTACGTGTTCCTTGTTCACGGTGTTCCTCAAACAATTATCCTAGACAACGGAGTCCAATTCACAAGTCGTGAAATGGACAGTCTTTAAAAAAATATTCTGTACCAAATGTTCATTTCACACCTAAATACACTCCACAAATAAATACCGTAGAAAGGTATTATAAAAACATAGTAACAGCTATTTCTACGTTTGTTAGTGACGACTATCGTTCATGGGATGTTAATATCCCGAAAATCCAATTTGCTATAAATAACTCTGTGAATGAAACAACTGACTACACCCCAGCATTTTTAGTCCATGGAAGGGAATTGGTTACGTGTGGGTCTCATTATATTGATAATGATATCCCTAACGAATTAATATTTATGCCAAGAAATTTATATGCAGAAAATTTAGGCTACCTTTCTATTATTTTCGATAAAGTACAACAGGCTTTATGGAATGCTCATCTAAAATCTTCTCAACGTTATAATTTGAGACGAAAGCACGCGGAGTTTCAGGTAGGCGATATTGTGTGGAGACGTTGTTACTTTCAAAGCGACAAAGATGCCTATTTTGCGAAAAAACTTGCGCCTAAATATTTAAAGTGTAAAGTAACCAAGAAAAAATCACCCTTTAGTGTACATCTTGGAAGATATGTCTGGTCACGATCTCGGAGCCTGGCATATAAAAGACCTCAAGCTAGTGAAAAACCATTAACGTCTTTCTGGAGTTTAGTTTCAATAGGTAGTCTATAGGTAGGTTTGTCAATTTTACTTACTATAACGTAAAATTTTTATATTTTGTAAATTATAAAAAATTTATCACTAAAATATTGGTGCGCCGTCGTTTTCATGTTTTGTTCGATCGGTGTGTACGCGGGCGAAGGGCGAGGGGTAGGAGACAAGCACAGTGATAAACAAAAATCGAGAACCGGACATGAGAACGTCATAGCCAGAGGTCATAGCTGCGAGCGACACCGACGTGTCACGTCGTCGTCGTTGTTTTATTTTATCCTCAAATCTTGAACACAGTCTTGTGTACTTATACTCGTAGTCACTTCTTCTAAATATTTTATTGTAAAAAATATAAACCTTAACCGCTTTTAAGGTGATTCCCGTACTGGGAACTCCCTAAGTACTGGTTTTGTGAACAAGGGACGGGAGACAGCTGAGCTCACTGAACGGCAGCTGTCAAGATTTATTATTGGATGCACGGCAGTACCTTCCTACTGAACAGAGGCAGACTAAACAGAGCGCAGGAGAGTATCGTTGTGAGGGCAATTAGATCAAAATCAATCATATTAACCGACCTCTGACCCTGAGTGTATAAATAAATTCTCATTATTCTTTACTCTTATTTGTTGTTTTACTTCAACTAAATTGAAACGTAACAGTGGTAATGTTCTACCCCCATGGCGCTGGGTTAAAAGAGAAGCATAAAGCGACGTATTATAATGCCAAAACTCAGACCAGAATCAATAATGATGCACAATGTCCACGATTAGGACCGGTATTGTTACTACTTAACTTAATACTCTCTCAATATCAGAGAAGAAATATAAAGAAATAAATGTGGAAGGAGTTTTGTCTTGGTAGAAGTCATTAAAAACATTTTTAAAAGCATATGTTATGTTTTGCAGTTTTATGAATAAAATTAGTCTTCAGGGAAATCAAGGTGACTTTTAATTGCACATCCCAACATGTAGTGCGCAAAGGCTCACAACAACTTGCATAATTAAGAAGTATCATAGGTACTGGCTTTATAATTTTAATATACTTTGAGTTCTTTTTTAAATTAGTTGTAACATGTTCACAATAATAAAAGGTAAATTATAGGGTTATAATAATCCAAAGGCCATTTTATTGCCATCCGTGAACGCTCAAAATTATTTGCATTTTAAAATTAACTTTATGGCTTAAAAACACGGAGTTATAAATAAACAAAGGGAACATATTAAGTTAAATATGTATTAATTACAGCCCATCGTGAATCCACGGCTGAACAAAGACTTGTGTCAAAAGAAATGTGTGATTGTCTCATGGGGGAGGGTAACTTCCACAGTAACTACGCTTGGCAGGTGGGTTGGCAACCGCATTTTTTTATTTTGAACTGTCCATTTCTTTCCTTCCTTCCTTCACCTTCGAGATAATGGTGGGTTCTCTCACGCCCGCACTATGTATATACATAATATTATATATGTACACATAATATTTATGTATATAAGTAGTAAACCAATTTAGTTTATGCCTATTTCATATATATTTATGCTAAAATATTGTTGTTTGTTTCCAAATCTAATTAATCAAGTTGTATTGTTTAAGGAGACAAACACAAGGGAAGCTATTTGTTACATAATGTTAAACTATTGAAATTTCTATTATTGTCTCAAGCAATTCAATTGCATACAGCTTTAAATATAGTAAATATATTAAGTTATTTCTATGGTATTTACTGTTATTTGTATAATGAGTGAATTGAAATATTCAAAGCAATGAAATACAATGTATATAATTATATATATATATATTTATTATATGAAATACTGGTGATTTCCCGCATAATGTAATTTGTAAAAATGTATTGTATGTATGTACTGTATTTAATTTCTTGATAATTGCTCATAAGCTCAACTCCTCAATACGCTTAGAGGCTTGAGGCCTAGTTTCATCTACATTAGTACTCCGGTCACAAATCACCTATAGAATTGAGTAGGATTCACAAAGAAAAGTATTTCTGTTTTATTTTAAAAACTTCAAGGTTATTAAAAAAATTCCAACATTTTCATGCTTGTTTTGACAATACTGTTAAAATATTTTAAATCTATTTCTATTTATTACATCAAATAAATCAAGAGACAAGAATGCGTTCTTTATATGTCAAGGTACGCCGCTGAGTTCGGCGGCACTCCATAAATTTTAATATACACAATTTAAATCAAAAATACCAAGATTCGAATATACAATAGCTTCACCTTAAAAATCTATTCTGTCTTATTACCTGTATTTACATATAAATAAACTTAAGTTTGAATTTGAATTCATATTCGAAAATTATCAGGAATAATTAGTTATCCTTAGATAAGCGGTCAAAAGCGGGTGTCGAAATCTTTGTTTCGGGGCATTTTGTAATTTATTGCAGAGGAATATGGAACTGGTTGCTAATTATTCAAACTAATTACAACATAAATTATTTAACAAATAGCTTTTTTGAAAAAATAAAGGAAATTTTTGTCCCTATTATTATCTGACAGAAAGATAGTAGAAGCCATGGACACAGAATCCTCCAGTAGAGTTTATGAATTTTCTAGAGTTATAAGTTTTAACCTTTCGTCCTGGCCAACCCGCTTAACACACGCAACCAAGCGTGAAGTCTTTTGCAATAGATGCCACGTTTGGTAAGCGGGTTGGCAATTGCCTGATAAAAAATGCATAAAATCGATGATATAGCTCGGGACTGTGCTTTGTGCCATTGTTTGGGAGAGGCGTATCTTTAGCAGTGGACGTGTAATGATGATGATATGTTTTAACGTCATATAAGCTGAATTCAAATTACGCATTACGAAATAACTAATTTTGTGTTGACAAAATTATATAATAATATTAATATAACTTCCGCAGATAATAATTTCAGAACTGTTCTGAAATACTTATCATGGTTAAAATCGCTACAGACGACATTATTATGAATATTATTACCACGTAAATCTTATCAATGGATTAAAGTGAAAATCCAAGGTCTCCTCGTTTCTTAACTTTCTTGGTACCTACTAAAGTTGAATATATTGTTTTTCGCGAACTGCAAAATATACGAGGCAAAAGGAAAAAGTTCAGTAAAATGTTGTGACCGATTGACAGATCTATTGGGAGCCCTAGAAATCGCAAGTAAATTTATTTTAAAAATCTAAAAAGCTTTATAAAGGTTTCCAATAATTTACTAAGTAATATCACTGGATAATTGATAGGATTGACCTATAATGAAGCGTCAGTAGCCTAATGGCAGGGCACGGACCGCGAACTTGAAAGGTCGTGGGTTCGAACCCGCCATTCGACTACTGTCGTGAACCACTTCTAACACAAGCATTTTAAGGTTACCAGAAGTGGTTAAAAGGAATATTAGTAATGTTTAATAGCATTACTAGTATTTTATTAAAAAAAAATAAAAAAAAATAAAAAAGAGTTGCATGAAAAAGGGGAAGGTTTAATTCATAATAAAACTAGTATTTACGGATTTTATCGCGTATATTAACTTATATTCTCGACGTTTCGAGCACCCATGGTCACGGGGGAGACTGAGGTGTTTTTAATCTGGCTACCTCCAGATTAAAAATATTAATTTTTGTTCAAGTTCAAGTATACAAGCTTTATTGTGAATGTGTTCTCTTTTATGTAGGACACACTAAACGATCGATAAAACCCCACGTTAAAGATGAATATACGCTCCGGGAAGTCTGCAGTCTGTGAACTTCGTCATTGGGACGTCAAACACCTAAGTCTCCCCCGTGACCATGGGTGCTGTGTGCATGTGTAAAGGGCTCGAAACGTCGCGAATATAAAATATACGCGATAAAATCCGTAAAATTAGTTTTATTCAAATGTGCAACGTTCGCGTAAATAGAGGAAGCTTGTACCCAAAAGTAGGATACAAAAGGCTAACTATTGATTATAAAAGTACGAGATTATTTGCACAAAAATTGTACAGCTTTTGTCTTAAGGTAGAAGGCATGCACAAGGCACAAAAATTTTATACGTGGTAGAGCCATGCTGCAGCTATATTATAGTTGTAGCACGAATGGGTCGGCTCGACCGGGGAAGGACCACGCTCTCACAAAATACCAGCGTAAAATAGCAGTTTAACGCTGCTGTGTTTTGTATGGTGAGTGTAGAGAACCGGAGACCCTTTTTACTGGAAACGAGGCATTCCATCTTAGTCCTCACGGGTGACAACGCATCTGCATTTTGATTCTTAATCGAAGATAGATGTAGATGTCTATGGGCCACAGCAACCACTTACCATCAGGTAGTCTGTGTGGTCGTTTGTCACCCTTTTCCTATAAAAAAAAAGAATATATCTGTTGTAAACTAAGAAAGAAAATGAACTCAGCAAAT